CTCTTCCATGTAGATGTTTTTGCACATCTTTTGTTAAATTTATTCCCAAGTATTTTCTCATTTTTTTAAAGATTTTATTTATTTGACAGAGATCACAAGTAGGCAGAGAGGCAGGCAGAGAGAGAGGAGGAAGCAGGATCCCCGCTGAGCAGAGAGCCCGATGCGGGGCTCAATCCCAGGACCCCAGGATCATGACCTGAGCCGAAGGCAGAGGCTTCAACCCACTGAGCCACCCAGGCACCCGTATTTTATCATTTTTGATGCTATTTGAAATAGAGTTGTTTTTAGGTTTTATTTCCAATTGTTTGGTACTGGTATATAAAAATACAATCAATTTTATAATTCTTAAAAATTAGCCAATTAGGGATGCCCTGGTGGCTCAGTCAGTTAAGCATCTGGCTCTAGATCTCAGCTTAGGTCTTGATCTCAGGGTCATGAGTTCAAGCCCTGTGCTGGGCTCCATGTTGGGCATGGAGCCTACTTAAAAAAAAAAAATCAGGTAATTAACTTGGATTCAAACTGCAAGCTCTGTCTCGCATGCAATAACTTTGTATTCTCCAACCTTGTTAGATTCACTTAATAGTTTCAATAGTAATTTCATAGATTTCTTCAAATGTAAACAATCTGTAGATTATTGATATGTAAACAATCAGGTCTTCTGTAAATAGACAGTTTTACTTTGTTTCTGATCTTTGTAACTCTTATTTCTTTTTAGTGCTTTTTTTTTAAGATTTTATTTATCTGAGAGAGAGAAAGAGCATGAGTTGTAGGGAGGGGCAGAGAAAGAGGGACAAGCAGAAGGGATGCGGGGTTTAATTCTAGGACCCCGAGATCATGACCTGAGCCAAAGGCAGATGCTTAACCGATCTAGCCACCCAGACACCCTCTTTAATGTTTTATAACTATGTTTAGGACTTGCAATATAGTGTTATGCAAAGTGGTGAGAAGAGGCGTTCTTGCCTCTTTCCTAGACTTAGAGGGGGCAAACTTTAGTATGTCATGATTAAGTATGATTTGGCTCTAAGTTTCTCATGGCAGTCATCTGTCAGGTTGAGGAAGTTTCCTTTTATTCCTAGTTTTCTGAGAGCGTCTTTCATGAACGGCTGTTGAATTTTGTCAAATGCTTTTTTTCCGCAGCTATTGAAATGACAATATTTTTTCCTCTTTATCCTGTAATCTGGTGAAATACTTTGGTTTGTGAATGTTGAAGCAGTTTTGCATTCTTGAGATAAAACCCTCTTTGTTATGACCTTTCCTACATTTTATATGGTGCTGCATTCAATTTGTTAGTAGTATGTTGAGGACTTTTGAATCTATGTTCATAAGGGACATTGATCTCTAAATGTTCTTTCTTTGGGTGTATGTCTGTTTTTTGGGTTTTGGTGTTATGCTGGCTTCATTAAATGACTTGAGAAATATGTCTTCTCTATCTTCTGAAAACAATTTTCGTGGTGTTAGTAAAAAGATTTCTGTTATTTCTTTCTTAAATGTTTGAAGATTTCACCATTGAAACTCTCTGAGCCTAGAGTCTTCTTTATGCAAAAGTTTTTTTTTTTAATATTTTATTTATTTATTTGACAGAGATCACAAGTAGGCAGAGAGGCGGCAGAGAGAGAGGGGGAAGCAGGCTCCCTGCTGAGCAGAGAGCCGGATGCGGGGCTCAATCCTAGGACCCTGAGATCATGACCTGAGCCAAAGGCAGAGGCTTTAACCCACTGAGCCATCCAAGCGCCCCACCCAATATGTTTTAAAGCTCTGTTAATAGGTGCATTTGCATTTATAAGTATTATGTCTTCCCATGAATTGACCCTTTAATCATTATAAAATGTCCCTCTGTATCTCTAGTAATTCTCTGATCCTGAAATGTACTATACATGTTATGTATAAATGTAGTACCTCCAATCTTCTTATGTTTACATTGCATTTTTTTCCAATACATGTATTTTCAACCTCTCTGTGTATTTATACTTAAAGTGCTTATGTTATAGACAGTAAATAATTGGGTCTTGCTGTTTTATACATTCTTCCTATTTCTGCATTTTATCTAGTCTATTCACTTTATCAACACTCGGGGTTATTATCGATAGGGTTAGATTTAGGTCTGCCATTTTTTTATTTGTTTTCTATATGTCCCCTCTGGGTTTTTCATTGTTCCTTCCTCTATTCTCATTCTCTCTCTCTCTCTCTCTCTTTTTTTTTTTTTTTGGCTGTCCTTTTAATATATTTTAGAATTCCAATATATTTTATTATCTTTTTAAAAATATTTTATTTATTTATTTGAGAGTGAGAGAGAGAGAGAGAAGGAGCAGGGGGAGGAGTGGAGGGAGAGGGAGAAGCAGACTCCCACTGAGCAGGGAGCCTGATCTGGGGCTTGATCCCAGGACTCTAGGATCATGACCTGAGCCAAAGACAGATGCTCCACTGAATGAGCCACCCAGGTGCCCCCAATTTATTTATTATTATTTTGGCTTTTTGTCTATCTTTTCGTGGTTGCTCTAGCAATTATAATTTACATCCTTAACTTTTTGTAGTTTACTTAGAGTTAATTTCGGCAGTTTCACTTGAAATATAGAAACATTAAAATAAATGTTTGTTTATATAGATTTATTTCTTCATTCTTCAAATTAAAGTTGTTTTATTTACATCAATATTACATTTTTTGCTTTAAGCATTTGTATGTATTTGAAAGAAATTAAGACAATATAGTCTTACATCTTGACCATTTCTGATGCTCTACATTCCTTCCTAAAGTTGGGAAGTTCTCCCTGGGATCATTTTTCTTCAGTCTGAGGAGCTTCCTTTAATGTTTCTCGTAGGTCAGAACTGCTAGGGATGCAACACTTCTGTTTTTCCTTTATCTGAAAGTAGCTTTCAGGTACTTCAATCTTGAAAAATATTATTCTATCGGTACAGAATTCCAAGTTAACAGTGTTTGTTTTTCTTTTTTTCTTTCAGCACTTTTCAGAGACCTCATTCCACTATTTTTGAGCTACCATCTCAGCATCAGTCCGTGTTAATAGTCTTTTTGCACAAGAATAGATCAGCAACATAAAATTGTATTTTGAGCATTTTTGGATTTTACAGGCATTATGAACATTGTGTGTTATTTTTTAAAAATCAGCCAATTAAGGATGCTTAGGTGGCTCAGTTGGTTAATCTGGCTCTTGATCTCAGGGTCATGAGTTCAAGCCCTGCATTGGGTTCCATGTTGGGCATGGAGCCTACTTAAAAAAAAAAAAAAATCAGGTAATTAACTTGGATTCAGACTGCAAGCCCTGCCTCACATGCAGTAGATGGCAGCTCAAATCTTAATTCAATCTTTGAGCTTTATTTTCACCACCAAGCATGATTCAGCCATCTGCCAGAGATTTGGGCAAAATTTGCACACAAAGTTGGGGGCTCTGCAGTCTGGCTTTCCTTGGGATTTCCTTGCCTTGGGACTTTCATTGGCGATGATTGCCCTGAACTGTGTCTTCAGCAACTCTGAAAGGCTGCAGGTTTTCCATCATAGTTTTAGACAGTCTTGGCACTGCTGTTAAGTTAAAAGCCATTGTCTTCAGGAAATTTTGTTTTACATAGATTTTTTCCAGAGTTTATAGTTGTTATCTGTGGGAGGTTTCATAGGAGCTACTCAGCCATGACCAGAAACATGACTCCCCTCAAATTATGACTTCATACAATAAATATTATGTCGCACACATACCCCCCAACACTTAAAATTATTCATTGGTGTTCCATTGCATTTAAAGTAAAATAGAAGCTTCGCACTTCTTCTTGATGTTAACAGACCTGTCCAGTTCTTCTCAAATGCAATGCTTCATGGACATCAGTTACTATCCCCACAGTCCTCAAGATTTCATGAGGTGAGGCAGACCTGCTTTCTATTGAATTCTGCTCTATCTGTAGATGAGGGATATTTTTGAAATAGTTATACCAGTGAGATTAATGATTAGAGGTGTATCTCATCATTGTTTAATTGCATAAGATTAGCCAGAATTAGAATCCCTGGCATTAGTCATAGATTCACATGATAAAAAAAGCTTGATAATATTGAAGCATGCATTAATAATACATTTTTTGCTTCTTGCGACAAGATGGATGGATCTTAAGGAAATGATACGAAGTAAAGTGAGTCAGAGGAAGACAAATACTGTATAATCTCACTTACATGTGGAATGTAAAAAAATGAAAACATGAACTTATAGAGAATGAATTGGTGGTTTCCAAAGGTAGGATGGGAAGTGGGTGAAATGGGTGAAGGTGATCAAAAGGTACAAATTTCAAGCTATAAAATAAATAAGTCACAGGAATGTAATGTACAACATGATGACCATAGTTAATAATACCTTATACATTTGAAAGTTGCTAAGAGAGTAAATCTCCAAAGTTTCTACCACAAGAAAAAATTATAACTGTGTGGTAGTGGATATTAGCTAGATTCATTGTGGCCATCATTTTGCAATATATATAAATTTTGAATTATTATGTTATAGACCTGAAACTAATATAATATTCTATGTTGGTTATATCTCAATTATATATATGATAAAAAGCCTTTTATGTCTGGAAACTAGAATTGATTCTTTAAATCAAAATTTCATCATTACATTATTGAATTCTGGATATTGAATTATCTGAAATTTTTCCAAAACTTTTTATAGGGTATTTATAGCTATCATAATAATATATGAAACAAATTATTAACACAAAAGCAAACATTCTGTGTTTCTCTATAATATCTATTATGCTTAAAGCAATGAACAAATGCTAATGACTTTAAACATTTACAGCTTTCTTTCTGTTCACCTCTTTTAAGTGCTTTTTCTGGGTACAAATTACTTTTCTAATTCATATGCACCATTATAACTTATGTTCTCATAATAATGTTAGCAGCTAAGTGGTTTACAGTTCTATTCTTTCATTGCTCGAGGAAGTGTTATAGAAAATTCTTTTTAATTTTTGCAAATGATAACAAATGATATGCACCTTCAATTTCATAGATTAATAAACAGAAGGAGGACATGGAAACAAGGAAGAAGTTGGGCAGTGTAGGCAGCAAGGTTTGCATTTAAATTCAAATTCTTTTGTCTTCTTTTATTCTGTGTGAGCCTTATTTTGACATCTGCGTTGCAGAAGGTATACATACCCTACTGAGACTTCTCACTTTCCAAGATCTGAGTTTGAAGGAGAACATGCTTTAAAGTGTGGATGGGAGCCCAGCAGCCTGATGGCTGAGCTCAGGGAAAGGCGTATAAGCCAACAAGAATGCAAACGTGGCTGAAGGAATGGGAAAAGTGTCCTGGTACACGGAGCCTTAGGCTCATGCCCTATCTCTTCAGATTCCTGTCCCTTCACTCACACCTTCTATTCTCCTAGCTTCTTACAAATAGGATACAGACCTCAAGCGGGCCCATTACCCTACTCCTCAACACTCCCACCTTTCCAGGTGCTTCCAGAAAACACTGATCTGTTGGTATGTTTTTCTTGGTGCAGTGGCATCAGCGGGAGGAGAGGAAAAACAGACCCAGCCTGCACACTGAATCAGGCCAAAAGGGAGTGTGGGACTGGGAAAAGGACCAGATCCATGCCCTTTGGGACTGAAAATTTGACCCTGCAATGCTAGTTCACGGGAGGAAAAGAAAGGGACACAAATCTGAAGAATGAAGTGAGAATCACCAAGCCATTTCTATTTTGTGTGCCAGAGCCTGAAATTAGTCAAGGGGAAAGAGACTTCCCTGTCCCCGTGGCCCTCACAGCCCAGGATTCCATCCAGACCTAGAGCCAGTTCAAGACCACACTCACCCACCATCAGTACATCAGTGACTATGAAGACCAAGAAAGTTAAGACTCCAAAGAAATCTGCAAAGGAAGAGCAGCCTTTGGTAAGAACGGCTCCTATGACTACACCTGCATCCACACAGGGGCCACTCACTGTTCTCTTAGCACTGTTGCAAGCTCACGTCCCACATGAGCAAGGCTGATGGTCTCCTACACAGGATGCTCCCTACTACTCTGGGCGGGAGGGTCTGGCTGCTCTTTCTACATCATTGTGTTCTCATTGGATCCCTTGACTGCCCAAGAGGATGCCACCATTATCCCCAACATGGTCCTTTATTTAGCTTAGTTGCTAAGGCTCAGTGGGTCTCCATTAAATTAGCAAGCTAGAAAAGCCACATTCCAAGCACAGTCTTGGGCATATAATTTCTAACTCCGTACTTGCCCAATATCTGTCCGAAGCTTACTGAAAATGTGTTGAGGGCCATGCAGCTGTACAGTCCTTTTGCTCCTAGTATTCTAAGTTGACAAATGGATTAACTCACACCAACAGGGACAGGTGTGCATGAATGACGTGCTGTTACTCTCCTAATCCACCATCCCCCTCGCCAAATAATCAGAATTGCCTTTACTGGACCCAAGGCGGTACTACTGGTTTGTATAAAAGAGCACGTTAAGAAATAGTTTGGTGTTGTTCAACTCGGTGTCGGCATAGCGTGTGGACACTGCTGAAATGAGATGTTTAGCATGCAGTTCTTGGGAAGTTTGTATTTATTTGTTTTTTTGTGTTTATGGAGTTGGTTTTTTTGTTTTGTTTTTTGCTCACAAAAAACAAACAAGCAAACAAACACCCCAGCTCCATGCCCGAGTATGCAATGTTGGCGGCTGACCTGAGAGGATATATCAGACAGACTGGGTAAGGGCTCTAGTCTAAGCCTTGGACTTAGGAAGCATGAGGCCGAGGCTGTGTCCTGTTCCAGAAGGCTCCATTGACTGCCATGAAATCAAGTCCTTTGGTGGTGGGGGGTGGGCAGAGTCTGTGGTCTGAGGCTCCAAGAAGATGGCAGGAGGACCGCCAAGCAGGGTCGATAGGAACCTCTAACCCCAGGACCGCAGCAGCAGGAGGAGCTGCCCTGGTCCCTGCAGCAAGCCCAAGGCCCTAACTAAACCTTACAGTTGCAGATAAGAAACAACAGGGTCCTCAATTTCCAGTCGAGATGGAGCTTCCAAATTCACAGGCATGAGGGGCGGAAATAACCACTTGTTCTCCCCCACAGAATATGCACGGGGAAGGAGAGATGTGGGCAGACAGGATCACCCAGGAGCCTCAGTTCAGTGCTATGTCAGGGCCATAGTCTCTCCTTCTAACTGTACTGATTGTTATTTTGATGTTGCCAAAGCCTAACAGTATGTCTTGTTGGCTGGAGAGACTCAAAAGTTAATGTGTAACCATAAGTAAAAATTAGACCAGGGGTGGGGGGGGGGGGAAGGTGACGTCAGCTGGTGTTTACATATTTATATTAATTGACTCGATTTTAAAGTGAAATATCTTTTCCTAGTTCACTACCATTACTATCATATGAACTTTTGTAGTTCACAATTTGATGGTAAGAATCCCGTTTCACATTTCCATGTGGTACAGTCCTCACTGCAGACTAACCTGATCTATTATGCATATTGACTTTAATTTTCCTCCTTTTCTCTTTTACATCTTTCATTATAGCAAGGTAACTGGACTTCTTAAAAACTGTCTTTAAAGGGCTTTGTAACATTATCGCATGTAAATGACCAAACAGAGAGCTTGCCGAAGGAACTTTTTACATCAGTCATTTATCTTATCTAATTAATCATACTTATTTTTTGAAATCTGTGTCATTCGGTGGGAACGGCACACGTGCTTCCCACAGTGGGGTACACAGTGATAAACTGAGTGTTTAGCCAGTCTGAAAAGCATGCTAGGAACATCGCTGTTTGATTTCTATTTATGAAAGATTTCACAACATGAAATTTGTATTTGTACAGTGTTTTGTGTAAAGTTTATTTTTTGATATCTGGGAAACATTTCAGATACTAAGGTTTCACATAACAAGGTTAGATTGGATTCCCAGGGCTTTTGCCCCTCCCCCTCCTTGGATAATTAGTTAATTAAGGTTGCACCCAGTAACTTCTGGGCTTCCACGGGGTAACCTGGTCTATGCTGACAGAACATATGGTGTGTGTTAGATCTGCAGAAAGCATCAGGACCCTCTGTGTGGGAAGTGGGACATGGACAAGCCAATCATGTTCCCATTCTTAAAGTTCAGCTAATACAAAGCAATTTGTACAGCATAAGACTTCAGTGAAAACTCTAGAACGTGATTCTTCTTTTTAACATTTAAAAATTGTCAGTTGAAATATTTTTTGCAATAGTTTTGCAATTATCTTATTCACCTTGCAAGCTAGTAACTTAATAAAAAAATGTTAGTATAGGATAGAGAATGATTGTTCTAGATCTCTTGTATTATAGGCTAGGTAGGTGAGGAAAAAAAAATCTTTATTCCTGAAATTGATCATTGCTCTCCTAGGCAATCCTCTTATTTGATTAAATTGCACATGAAGTTTAAAATGAACATCATCAGGGGAGAAAATAATAAAATCTGTTTATTGTTTCATTATTTCGTGCTTTTTAACTCTGGCCTTGCTTGGTAGAGCAGACAGTTAGGAGTTCTGCAGAGCAGTATGGGAAAGCCAGCATTTGGCTGGTTGTGTATCTGGCCACACTGGGTGGCTGTTTAATACAGAGAAATGATCTCCTGCACATGTGCACGGTCTTGGAGGTTGCCAAAGGATACTCACTGTGTTTTGATAGATTTTGTTGACACAGAAGAATTTTCCTTACTGTACTAGATCTTTCTTTTATCAAATAACTTTAAAATGTAGAGATTATTAAAATCATACACTCTACTTATTTATTTCAAAATCAAATTCTTCATTTACCACTAAAAATAATTCATCTTTAGATTCTGCTCTCAGAGACCAAAACTGGCAAGCTGAGTGATATTATATTTAGAAGTCAACTGAACGGTGGCTTTTGCTTTCTACAGTAGCTTATTCTGGATAGTTCGATGATAAATATTTTCAGTGTATTTGGAAGTGAAAATATTTTAGTGAAAGTCATATTCAGTATTTGTTGTACAAATGAAAAATGTTTTTTTTTAAGAATCACATAATGGGTTTTATGCTTTGTCTTCTGGTAGTGTTCTTGGGGAACGGTGAGAGCATTTTATTTGTAGTTTGTTGATACTTCAGTATAAATTAAGGACCTAAGATAGAGTTGTGGGAATCAGGAAAAGATAAATTTGAGATTGGCATCAATTTCTGTTCTTCCCTAGTTACTCTCAGCCAGGGGTAGTTGCTAGGTCCTGACCACATGTAATAAATCACCCTGGAGGTAACAGAAGTGTGACATTCAGGTGCCCACAGAGCAGGTAACAGAAGTGTGACATTTAGGTGCCCACAGAGCAGGTACTTATCTTTGAGGTAAATACCCAGTAGTGCAATTGCAGGGTCACCCCACCGCACGGTGTTGCTTTATTTCCATTTGCTTGGGTTTCAGCTGTGGGTTTTTTCAGTGATCCATAACTCATTGTTTATGCACCACACCCAGTGCTCCATGCAATACATACCCTCCTTAATACCCACCACCAGGCTCAACCAACCCCTTACACCCCTCCCCTCCAAAACCCTCAGCTTGTTTCTTAGAGTCCACAGTCTCTCATGGTTTGTCTCCACCCCCGATTTCCCCCAACTCACTTCTCCTTTCCATCTCCCCATGTCCTCTGTGTTATTCCTTATGCTCCACAAGTAAGTGAAACCATATGATAATTGACTCTCTCTGCTTGACATATTTCACTCAGCATAATCTCCTCCATTCCCATCCATGTTGATTCATGCTTTCTGATGGACGCATAATACTCCATAGTGTATTTGGACCACATATTCCTTATCCATTAGTCCGTTGAAGGGCATCTTGGTTCTTTCCACAGTTTAGTGACTGCGGTCATTGCTGCTATGAACATTGGGGTATAGGTGGCCCTTCTTTTCACTACATCTGTATCTTTGGGGTAAATACCCAGTAGTGCAATTGCAGGGTCATAGGATAGCACTGTTTTTAATTTCTTAAGAAATCTCCACACTATTTTCCAAAGTGGCTGCACCAACTTGCATTCCCACCAACAGTGTAAGAGGGTTCCCCTTTCTCCACATCCTCTCTAACACTTGTTATTTACTGTCTTGTTAATTTTGGCCATTCTAACTGGTGTAAGGTGGTATCTCAATGTGGTTTTGATTTGAATCTCCCTGATGGCTAATGATGATGAACATTTTTTCATATGTCTGTATGTCTTCTTTGGAGAAGTGTCTGTTCATGTCTTCTGTCCATTTTTTAACATGATTATCTGTGTTGTGAGTGTTGAGTTTGAGGAGTTCTTTATAGATCTTGGATATCAGCCCTTTGTCTGTAGTGTCATTTGCAAATATCTTCTCCCATTCCATGGGTTGCCTCTTTGTCTTGCTGACTGTTTCCTTTGCTGTGCAGAAGCTTTGATGAAGTCCCAAAAGTTCATTTTCACTTTTATTTCCTTTGCCTCTGGAGACATGTCTTGAAAGAAGTTGCTGTGGCTGATGTCGAAGGGGTTACTGCCTATGTTCTCCTCTAGGATTTTGATAGATTCCTACCTCACGTTGAGGTCTTTTATCCATTTCGAGTTTATCTTTGTGTATGGTATAAGAGAATGGTCGAGTTTCATTCTTCTACACATAGCTGTCCAATTTCCCCAGCACCATTTATTGAAGAGACTGTCTTTTTTCCACTATATATTTTTTCCTGCTTTGTCAAAGATTATTTGACCATAGAGTTGAGGGTCTGTATCTGGGCTCTCTACTCTGTTCCACTGGCCTCTGTGTCTGTTTTTGTGGCAGTACCATGCTGTCTTGGTGATCACAGCTTCATAGTAAACTTGAAATCAGGCAACGTGATGTCCCCAGTTTTGTTTTTCTTTTTCAACATCTCCTTAGCAATTTGGGGTCTCTTCTGGTTCCATACAAATTTTAGGTTTGTTTGTTCCAG